ATCTTAATGGGGAGCCTGTGGGATTTTTAACATAATACTATAGATGAGGTGGTCTACACGAGAGTGCAAGTAGATAAATGAATTTGAGTTTAATTTAAAAAAAAAAAGTTTAGATTTTTAAGATACTTATAGGTCTTTCGAATGATATACACATTTCTCGAAAGTAAACATAAGTTAATTTTGTTTTTAGACCACAATATTCACAAATATCAGGACAGTTCAAAGAATTTGCATTCTTTTAAAATGAAATAAATTTAAAATTCAACTTATTATAAGCTCGTGCAGTATTCTTAAACAGAGTCTTCGAACGTCCAACACATTGGTCGGAACACATATTGAAATTGTAGTTTGATTAATATGGAAAGTTCAAAGAACTTCTATCCTTCTTGGACATAAAAATATAGAATTCAACTAATTTTAATTGTCTGTTTGAATGTTTAGCACATTAGTCTAAGCAAATGCAGACATTTAATTTTGATGATGTGCTTGAATTTTAGCGGACCTACGCAATGGATTTGCATGATTTTTTATGCATTTACATATTACTTTTGCACAATCTTCAATACATTACATGATGCATTTTCTTAATTTTTTTGTGTTTCCATAATAGATATGCATGATAATTGATGCACTTGTATGGTACATTTGCATAATGCTAGATGCATTTATACAAACTGAAAGGTATGGCTGCATGATTTTCTCATAATTTATTTCATGATTTCTAAATAATGTCTTTTCTTCTCTGCTCGTAGGAGTTGCAAATCTGGTGGCATTACTTAGCAGTCATATGTTATTTCCCATCTTTGGATTATATGTCATTACACATCCTAGTATTAGATGTTCAGCATATGATTTATTTTGATTAAGAAGACCCTACAAGGAACCTTTTCTCACTTCTAAATTAAAGGGCTTTTCAACTCATTTTCATTAAATCCTAAGTTGAATTCTTTGTGCAATTTAGAACATTTGAGTGCAAGGAAGTTATATCCATCACTTGCAAGCCAACCTTTAATTCTTGTATAAGTTTTTTAAAGTTCATTTTAGCATTTGATTTTGTACTTTTAAGTGTAAATTAAAAGGCATTCTAAGGTCATTCTTTCATTCTTAATTTGCATTTTTTTTAAACATATTTATATTTATTAGATTTTGATCTCTATATTTCTTCTTCTGTCTAAATTTTGGCAGTCATTTTGGCAGTCATCGATCGACTGTCATGTATAGAGGAATTTTAAAACATATTATGCTTGTCATGTATTGTCTTTTTAAACATATTTATATTTATTAGATATTGACCTCTATATTTCTTCTTCTGACTAAATTTTGGCAGTCATCGATCGACTATCATGTATAGAGGAATCTTAAAACATATTATGCTTGTCATGTATTGTCTTTTTTGGTGTGGTGAGGGAAGAAGACGAACCTTAATATTGTGTTTTAGAAAGATGCATACTAAACTTATTTTTAACAATATTCAGCCTTCCTCCCCATAGCCCCAAAAAAACACATATGACAAATACAAGATTTGTTTTTTTTTTGTTACATGAAGAAATTTGGTATGACATCGAAACGCATATGGCAAATACAATATTTTTTTTGTTACATGAAGAAATTTGGTATGACATCTTTATTGGGGAGGATGAAGAGTAGCATATATGAACTTGAGGGGAGTGACATGCACCTCTGGGCAGGCAAGGACCCATGCTGGGTCACACAACTCTTATACATTTACATGGTGATAGCTACATTATTTATTGTGGTTTTTTTTCGTCTACGATTTCAAATTTGAGTTGTAAAAAATGTTGACATTCATCGTCGGGACATTTTTTTTAATATGGTTGCCTACTGATGCACTAATGCGTGTAATTTTATACGCAAATACGAGGTTTATGTGGAAAAAAAAACAATTTTTTTTTCCCTCTAGTTGAAGGTTATTTCATTTCTGAATTACTTATTTATACACTTGAGGTTATGTTTTCCCACTTATTTGCTTGTATGACTTGAAAATGTAAACCTTCAAAGGGATAGTTTGTGCCAAAACATTAAGAAGTCATGCATTAAATGCTTAAATTTTTGGAAGAATTACATACATACCACTTAATTCTTATGTATTTACATATCTAACACCTACTTGCAATTTTTAAGCCATCTTAAACAAATTTGTGTGGATGTGCTAATGTCCATGTTTGGTTCTATTAAGTAGTGTCCAATTCATCTGTGAATCTTTGATGGCAATGAAGAACATTGAGCATTCACTGTCAGAGGTAAGATTTTGAACTAAATATTCAATGTTGAATGTTGTTTCTTTTGTTTCAGTAACATATTCAACATTTTGCAGCCATCATTATTTATTTTATACTGAAGCTTTTATTTCTACAGCCACATACAGGTATGCATTTATCTATCTCTTTTATTTAAAAAAAGTGTCATGATTTTCCTCAAATATTGATTTGAATGTTGCACACATATTTAATTCAAAATAGTTTTGAGTATTCAACTCGATTAGAATATAGTATGTAGAAAGAAGGAACATATTGCCGTTATTGTTATATATTTAGACTTCAAGAATAAGTTACTACAAGTCAAAGTGGTGCAAATTCTTTTCTTGACGAAGGATTTAAAAATTAGAAGAAAAATGAAAAACTGTTAACTCGTGTTGGTAAACATAATAGTGATCACGATAAAGCAAGACAGAAATTTGATTATTTGATAAAGCTACAAAATACAGAGTGTTTATGCTATGCGGTTTTTGAGTAAAGGATAAGAGAAACAAAAATGAATATCAGAATATGTTGATTGCAACAATTGATTGTATTCGATTCATTTTATGACAAAAATTATCACTTTGTGGTCATGATGAATCATTTAAATCAATTAATCAAAGAAATTATTTGAGATTATTTCATCTCCTTGCGAATCATAATGAAGAAGTGAAAAAAGTTACATTTGAAAATGTCAGTACAAAGTTAAAGTTAACTTCACCAAAAATTCATAAACAACTTTGTCGAGCAACAACAACTAAAACTCGTCTTTATCATGAAAGATTTAGGTGATTCATAATTTTCTATTATAGTGAACGAGTCTCGTGATGTATCAATGAAAGAACAATTAATAGTTGCAGTAAGACATATTGATAAAAAGGAGTAAATTATTGAAACATTTATTGTATCCAACATGCTTCCTCAATAAATGCAGTTATAATCAAGACAACTCTTGAATCCATATTAGCAAGCTTGTATAGAATACGTGGCCAAGGCTATGATTGACATCTAATATGTGAGGCAACTTAAAAGCACTTATACTTCATAATAATCGTCAAGCATATTATGTTTGAGTTCACATAAAGAATTTTGAATATAGTATAAGCTTCTTATAAGAGGATTGATGTTCCCAAAATCATTCAACATCAGAGGATTCTTTTACATCTTAAAACTAGGGATTTACTTAAAGCTGGTAAACCCCGTTAGAACTCAAATTTTCACATTATAATCAATCTCACAAAAATGTATGTATATGTAACTAAAGTACTTGAGAGAGTAAAGGAGGATGGAATGCATGATCAGCAATCAATTGAAGTTTGTATCATAATCTATGGAATAGAATCTTTTGAATTTAATTTTACAATGCATTTAATTATTGTCATTTTAAATATTACAAATGAATATCACAATCCTTACAAAGAAGAGATCAAGATATTGAGAATGTAATAAAACTAGTGCAAGATCCAAGCAAAAATTGCATATAATGAGGGAGAATGTATGAGATTCTTTATTGGATAAAATGTCTTGCCTTTGTAATCTTTTTGAAATTAATATTCCAAATATGAACTGTATTTTCAATTTTAATCTTTGGTCAACATGTAGAGGTGAAAAAATGTTAAATTTACATCATTATCGTAGTGAGTTATTTTATAATGTGATCAACATTCAATTTCAAGAGTTGAACAATAATTTCTTCAAAGCAAGTACTGAGCCACTTCTTTGGGTGACATGTTTAAACCCAATTGATTCATTCTCAGCTTTTGACGAGGGAAATTTGATTTGTCTCATAGAATTATATCATTATGATTTTTCTATTATTGAGTTTGTGACACTAAAGCCTGAATTATTCACTTATATTATTGATATGCACAGTAGTGTTGATTTCTCATCTCTAAATGGCATTACTGATCTTACAAAATAGTTAGTTCAGACAAAGAAGGATGGTGTGTATCCTTTAATTTATAGACTTGGTATCATGACATTAATTTTATCAATTGCTTTTGCTACAGTTGAGAGAGCATTCTCTGGTATGAAGATTATCAAAAACTGATTGTGTAGTTGAATGAGTGATGACTGGCTTAATCAATAACTCATATCATACATCAACAAAAAATTCTTTGATTTCCTTCCGAATGAAGTTATGCAATGTTATCAAAATATACAAATTAGATTGAAAGTTTGTAATATGTATTGATTTATCAATGATAATGGAATACAAGACTTTGTATTAAATTGTGTTCTTTATTTTATTTGTTTGTATTTGTTAAATGTAGTAAGTTTGCCTCTCCCCTCTCAGATAAGAGGTTGATTTTGCCCCTGCCTCTGGGAGGACTAATGTAAGGGAGAAAAGAGGGGTAGCATGGGGGTTATGACCCAAATTGATATAACTTATATTTATAGTAGGCTAAATCAAGTTGAGTTTAAAATAAAAATAGCAAAAATTTTATTTGAAAAAAAAATGATGCCTTTAAACGCGCGCGCGCACACACACAGATTGTAAGTATTTTGATTTTGATGGAATAAATATTTTAGATCTACCTAAACCCAGCTTTATCTTTTTGAAGGGAAAAAATTCAACATTTTTTGCAGGAATCAAACCAAGGCCAACACATTCGAGTATGAAACAATACCACTAACAAACCACTTTAGATGGTGCAAAACTAGTTGGTCATTGGTCCAATAATAAGAATTAAAAAAATCAAAAAGAAAAGAAAGCTGCAGTTAAAGGAAAAAGATAGTACCTAATGTACCAATGAGTTCGCCAGCCATAAATCAATTTAATTCGCATTACTGCCAGAGGACAGTCTATTTTTCCTTTCACTTTTAGGCTTTACGGCATCTTTTAAGCTCTTTGGTGTGATTCTTAGCTGGCTCATGTCCGATGTTCTAGATAAGCCGGAAGAAGCATTATTTCTCATTGTTTCCTCAGAATTTGTTTCAATCCGCATTTGGACAGTTCTTACTTCCTGTTTTGGATCCAGTGTAGATGATCCTACATAATCACCGTACACTCTTCAGTTATTGGTACAGAAGCCACAATCATAAACATAAGAAACTCCTTGAAAGGTCTGCAAATTTGTGCTCTAAATAACAAAAAAATATGAACTACTAAAGTTTATTAATCATAGCTCCATGAAAAATCAGGAAAAAGCAGAGAAATACATGTCATATAACTGCAACTTAACAAATTTCTTACATGAAAAATCCGTTGGATTTTATCTTCAGATTCTTATCAAAGTATGGAGGATAAGATGAGTAGGCATTCAATCTTACAACTGAATATTTAATTTAAGTTGTAGAGGTTCTACTAAAGTACCTAATGCGGGGCTCAAACCCATGCTAAACCGGCTAGGGGTGCCGAATCGGTTCAACACAGCAGGTTCAAGGGCTGGCCCACCCTTCCTATGAGGTTAGGGTTGCCACCCCAGAGAAAGGGCTCCCCCTTAGTTATCAATTATTACATATATGTTGTTTCCTTTGCTTAGGGTTCAATTTTTTCTGCCGTCAGCGCTTTCTCACTTGCTAGGGTTGTATCCGAGAATAGGTGGTAATCTGACTTGTATCCTGCTCCAAGGTGGTGGTGGTTATCTCCTTGTATTCCCTCCACTTTTCCCTTCTCCAATCTGCAGTGGGCTACTATCAGCCGAACCCCCCTACCGCCTACCTACAGTCAACCAACCTCACCCGCAACCGCCATTGCTGCTTTTCCCTCCTACCTGCAGCAAGCTACTCTCAGTCGGCCGTCTATCCCCTACCTACAGCCTACCCGACTCTTCCAACATCCTGCCGCCGCCACCTCCCTGCTACAGCCATCCCACCATACCTTATTGCTGCCCACCTCCCTGTTATTCGACAACCAACCAAAGCCATCCATTGAAGCCTTCCGACCATCCCACCACTTCCATGAGCGTTTTTCCTCCTTAAACTGCAGCACCACCACCCTCGACCGAAGTCTAATTGAGTTTGTGTCGTGTCATTTACTAATTTCTAATTTCAAGCGTCTTTGATTGTAATCCCCATTTGATTTTAGTTATAAAAGTCACATTTCGCTCATCAATTGGGTTAACTCTTGTATTATTTAGTATCAAACTAAAGTTAATCTTAATTATATCCTAGGCTTTCTAGCATCTGTCTTACCCCAAACCTACCTCCACACCCCCAAATATCTTTATGTTCCCCATTCTATTATCCTCTTCCACTCCCACCAATCCAAGCCATAACCATGCCACCAAGGAAACAAATGTCAAAACTTACCTAAAAAGACATATAGTGAGAGATCCATCTACTTCAATAGAGATTCGTGAAGATTGATGACGGGACCGAGGAGAAATTACCCTCGATCGTGATACGAAGAGTTGAAGAGGAGAAAGAGATGAGATTGTGAACCCCTTCTTTAGGGAGAACTTCAGTGATGAGGAGGACAGATCACGGCACTTCAAAATACATTATCAGTATGGAGGACATAAAGATTTCAAAGTGAAAGTGGATCTACTAAAATTTGAAGGAAGGATGGATCCATATGACTTCATTGAATAGTTGCAGCAGTTGAGAGAATCTTCAAATACAAACAGGTGTCAGAAGACCAGAGAGTGAAGCTCATGACCATCAAATTGAAAAAGAATGTTTCGTTGTGGTGGGGAAATTTGCAGAGGCAAAAAAGAAGAGAGGTGACAAGATTATCAGATGAAAGAAAAAAAGGAAGGAAATGCAAAGGAAGTACTTGCCTCCTCACTACCATCAGGTTATATTTCTGAGGCTCCATCGCTTAAAGCGGAGAGACCTATCAATTGAGAAGTTCACGACACAATTTGAGCACCTTCGATAAAATGTGAGTTGGTCGAGGCAAAAGAACATACTATGGTTAGATATTTGGGAGGCCTGAAGCCAACTATCAATAATGTTGTTCAACTGCAGCCCTATTAGTCACTGAGAGATGTCCATACCTTAGCTTTGAAGGTGGAGAGACAACATAAACAAAGCAGACAACATAAACAAAGCAGACAACCACCCTCATTCAGGCAACCACCTACAGCTGCAGCTACCAATAATGTTACATCTGGAGTTGGGAAAACTGGGCAGGGGAACGATAAGATGAATTTAAGTGGCAAGAAGTCCGAGAAGAGCAACACGCCTAGTGTTGTGCCTGCCAAGAGATGTATTAGGTGTCGCGACTACGGAAACATTCGAACTGTCATATGAGTCGAGTTGTTTCTTTCACTAATAAGGGTGCCATAGTGAAAGGGAGTGGGGAGGAAACAACGAAGGATCATGATGAAGAACATCAACTCCAAGGAGACGAGGGAAAGAAGCTAATCATAAGGAGGGTCCTACAGACTAAGCCAAAGAAAGATCATTCATGGCAACGGTATAGCATTTTTCATATCAGGTGTACCGTGAGAGGGAAGGTCTACAGCCTTACTATTGACGTTGGGAGCTGTGAGAATATTGTATCCACTCTGCTGGTGAAGAAACTAGATTGAGTCATGCAAAAACACTCTCAGCCCTATTCACTTACCTGGTTGAAAAGAGGAAATGAGATACATGTAGACCAACAGTATTTGGTTGAGTTTTCCATTGTGTGGACCAGCAAGTATGGTGTGATGTGATACTCATGTACACTTGTTATATTTTGTTGGGGAGGTTGTGGCAGTTCGACCACAAGGCCCAACACAAAAAATTCAAGAACACTTATTCGTTCAAAAAATATGAAAGACATAGTTCCTTTTGCCCATCAGGAATGCGAGAGAAGATATCACAGAGGAGACGATAGTCTTACGAGCCACCTTTATGTATTCAGTAGAGTAGCTCTAGTGGCACTGGTTTTACTCATGTTAAAAGGAACTAACGAGGAGATTGAGATACCAGAGCCTATGAAGCCTCTACTATCAGAACATGATAGACTGAAAGCCTTCCAGAAAAGTTCCCACTGCTGAGGGACACTCAGCATGCCATAAATCTCATCCTTGGATAGGTGCTGACAAACTAGTCTATCTACAGATTGAGACCTACAGAGTATGATTGATTAGAGCAATAGGTACATGATATACCAGCCTGTGAGTTGTCACTGCCCTGATAGTGCCTAAGAAAGACAGATCGTGAAAGGAGGTGTATTGATAGTTGAGCTATCAACAAAATCAACATCAAATATAGGATTCCTATACCTCGCCAGGATGGCATCTTGGATCAATTGCATGGAGCCAGTCTTTTCCAAGTTTGACTTACGCAGTGGATATCACAAGATCAGAATAAAACCATGGGACTAGTGGAAAACTGCTTTTAAGAGCTGGGATTGATTACACGAGTGAACAGTCATGCCTCTCGGTATGAATCAAGTGTTCCAGGTTCACATTGGAAGTTCATAGTGGTGTACTTCGAAGATATTCTTGTATACAACAGGTCCTAGGAGGGGCACTTACAACGCCTAAGGACGGTCTTCGAGGTTTTGCAATCCGAGGAACTGTGTGCCCACCCAAAGAAGTGTCACTTCCTGACAACACATAATTTTTTGGTCATATTGTATCTAGTGTAGGCATTCAAATGGATCCTGTAAAGATCAAGGGCATCATGAGCTGGACGCCCCAACAGTCCTTTACCGAGTTGAGATAGTTTTTAGGGCAAGCATCATTCTATAGGCGGTTCATCAGGAGCTTCAACACCATCACGACTCCCTTGACAAAAGTTTTGAAAAGGGAAAAGTTCCAATGGATGTAGACAGCTCAGTCCAATTTTGATAGTTTGAAGGAGAAGGTGATTCAAGCATCAGTATTGGCATTACTGGACTTCAATAAGTTGTTTGAGGTGGAGTATGACACCTCAAACCAGGAAGACCAACCCAAAACCTTCTTTAGTGAGAAGTTGAATGAGTTTGTAAGAAAGTATTCGACGTACAACAAAGAGTTCTTCGCGATCGTGAGAGCACTTAATCAATTGAATCATTGTCTGCTGACAAGCAAGTTCACTTTATTTATGAATCATGAGGATTTGAGGTTCTTGAACCACCAGAATAAGCTGAAAGGTTCTTGAACCACCAGAATAAGCTGAAAGGATGGCATGCTTCTTGGGTGGAGTTCTTGGCTTCGTTCCAGTTCACAAGGAGGGAAGTCAGAATTGTGTAGCAGCTGCACTAAGCCACCGTCATTTGCTGATCATGTCTATGCAAACTTGAGTCATGGGATTCAAGATAATGAAATTGTAAGGGACAGATGAATATTTCCAAGAGATCTAGGAGCATTGTAAGGAGAAGTCTATCGGGCAGTATCACAGAGCTGATAACTATCTGTTCCACCAGAACAAGTTGTGATTCCTCGATGTTCGTTGAGGGAGTCCATCATTCAGGAGAATCACGATAGAGGACTTGCAAGTCACTTTGGCAAAGACAAACTCTAGCATTCGTGCAAGACTACTTTTTTGGTCCCAACTCACGGGAAATGTGCAACAACATGTCAGGCAATGCAGTGTTTTTCATGTGGCCAAAACCAGAGGGCTAAAGCAGAACTATATGTTCCATTATTGATACTAGATGCCTCGTGGGTGAATGTTAGCATGGAGTTTGTAGTGAGTCTTCCGAGGACACGCCAAAACAAGCATTCTGTGATGGTTGTGTTGGATAGATTCTTGAAGAGGGCTCAATTTGTACATTTACATCGGAAGTTGGATGCATCACATATAGATAACTTGTACTTTCAGAGAGGTTGTGAGACTACACGGGATACCCGAGATCATTACCTTCAACAAAAATGTCAAGTTTCTGAGTCACTTCTGGAGAACCCTATATATATAATAATAGATAACTAAGGGGAAGCCTCTTCTCTAGGGAGGCAACCCTAACCCAATAGGAAGGGTCGGTCGTCCCTTGAACCTACTATGTTGAATTGATTCAACAACCCTTGTCTGTTCATCATAGGGTTAAGTCTCATGTCAGCCTCCATGAGTTGGAAGAACTTTGACCTCATTCGTCAAATTGTGTGGTTCCACATTGCAGAGAGTCAAATTTTCTACATTGAAAATAGCAGAAATATTATAGCCACTTGGTAGGTCGATTTTGTAGTCATTGTCATTCAGTTTCTTGAGATTTCTTAAAGGTCCAATCTGCCCTGGGCTTAAGCTTTCCAGCGGATCCCACCAGAAATATTTCTTTCTTCAACCCGATCCATACTAAATCCTCTTCTTGGAAAGTCACATTCCTTCGAGTTCTAATTATTTGTGCCTAGTACTTACGGTTATGCTTGATAATCTCCTTTGCCACCTTTTCGTGTAACTTTTGAATCTCTTGCACCCTCTTCTCAACATCCTCACTAATCTCTGATGTGGGAATGAGTGATAACATCTTAAGTGGAGTAAGTGAGTTGTGCCCATACATAATTTCAAATAGAATGCGCCTCTTGGTCTGACTCACAGACCAGTTGTAAGTAAATTCGGCCTGGGCTAGGATCATGACCCACTACTTAATATTCTTTCCCACAAAGCACCTCAAAAGGTTCCCATACTCCTGTTCATCACCTCTGTCGGACTGTCTATCTCTGGATGAGCTGCTCAGTTGAATTGAAGCTTAGTGTCAAGCTTCCCACATGATGTTTTCTTTGGTTAGGGTTCAGTTTTTTGCTTCAGTTTTTCTATCGTTGGCATATTTCCCCTTGCTAGGGTTGTATCTGAGAACAGGTGGAGATCTGACTATATCCTACTCCAAGGAGGTGGTTATCTACTTGCATTTCCCCCTTTTTCCCTCCTCCTACCTACAACCATCTACTATTACCCGACCGCCGACCCCCTGAACTCCTAACTATAGCTGACCGGCCTCACCCACATTCGCCATGTCTCATTTTCCCTCCTACCTACGACCGGCTACTCTCAAGTTTCAACAGGCCCCTATCCACTACCTACAGCCTACCTGACATCTTTAAACACCCTGCCACCACCTCCCTGTTGCAGCCATCCCACCATACCTAATTGCCGCCCACCTCCCTACTATCCGACAACCAACCATAGTCGTCTTTGCTGCCTTCTAATAATCTCACCACTTCCATGCAGGCTTTTCCTCAAACCACAACACCCCCACCCTCGACCTAAGCCCTAGTTGTGTTTGTGCCATATCCTTTGTTGTTTTCTAATTTCGAGTGTCTTTGGTTGTAATCACTATTTGACTTTAGCAATGAAAGTTATATTTCCGTTAAAATTTGGGTTAACCCCACTATTAGTACCTTTCTTTAATGTTTAATCCCGGTTACAACAAACAAATAATTTGCAATACATAAAGAAGCTTTGCCGCTGCTACAAAGAGCGGGACACCAGTCTCTTCCTTCAAACAACAGGAATAATAAAGATGATCCTGAAGTAGAACCATAAACAGCATCATTGCAGCAAAATTAATGATAGACTTTCATAACTTCTCCATCAACATTAATGGGTAGCATGTACCATTGAATAAGATCCCACGCCAATTGATAACATTATTAAGGATTAAATATTTTTGGAACCATTTGCTTTAAAAAAATGGGGCATTTACAAACATACCAGCCAAGTTCTATGCATTTACAAATCTAACACCTAAACTTTACTTTTTACATTTACACCAGACAAATCATTCATGTTGTGTCAAAATACCATCATTTAACTTTACTTTTTACATTTACACCAGCCAAATCTTTCATATCATACTAAGAATACCCCATTTTTACTCCTACAAAGTAAAACACGTCTTTTTATGCATATGTAACCATTTTTACTCCTACAAAGTAAAACACGTCTTTTTATGCATATGTAAGGTGGCATGCATGTAAGAATTAAAATTTTAGGTGTTAGATATGTAAATACATAGGAATTTAGTGGTATGTATGTAAATCTTCCTACAAAAATTTTGAAACAAAAGAGGGACCACAAAAAAGAGTCGTGCACACTTTCTGGTAATGTAGGAGACAGAATACCTGGAGAACTATGGGCACTTCTGACAAAATTTGGGGGTATGCCCTGAGAGTATGGATCCCTGCACATTAAGGCAGTTGATCTGAACTCAAACCAGATAAATTATGTACCAAAATTCCATATAAATAAAATGTGCTACTGTTACAAATGCAACAAAATAGAAGTGTTACCAATTTGAAGGGCCACCAATAAATGAATCAGTATCCTTTCTGATGAAGTCGATGTTTTTTTTGTTAGATAGAACACAGTTCCTTTTGGAATACTATCATTTTCTGTATCAAATATATTTTTGGATTCCTCTTTGATTTTTTGAGCTAGATGTCCAGCAAGGTGAGCAATCTGATCATCCTTCATGACAACAGCAGGTACAGTAATATCAGATGCCACCAATGAAGTATGGCGTTTAACTTTCCGAAGTGCTCTTGCAGTGTTGTATGAATCCACCTAAAACAGGTTAAAGCAAGAAGTGAAATGGTTAGCATATATATATATAGTTACATACATACATAAATCCATGTATATATAGCATCCACAGAATAAAACCCCTCAGGTCGAGGGTTCAAATCCCCTCTGGCACAATTGGCCTTAAGGAGGTGGTACTCGAAATGTTAGGCACATTAGGGGTAGTTAGAGGCTTGTATAATAGCCTCTGGTCATTTCTTTAAAAAAATGATAATAAATTACATATATATATATATATATAAAACATGCCATAATTGGCTGGTGATGAAAAACCTAAACTGTCTCAAACTGTAATTATACGCAAAGAATCATATACTTTTAGAACAAATTTACGCCAGTGTAGCTAAATGACATACAATTATTCAGAAAATTCCTGATAAATTCCATAAATTTACTGCATGAAAACCTCATAAGTTGTGTGGAGGATGGAGAAACCCACTTTTGGGTCACCAATACAGAGCAAGCCTTCAATATTTCACAGATCCAAAGTAAATATGGAATGATCTAATTGCAAGTAATCCCATGGATAAAACAAAAAAGGGTCGCCTGAATAAGATAACCTTTCAGATAGATTTTATTTTGAATTATAAGTAAAAGTCTACTTATAATACAATATTTATGCGGATGATAATAGTTCCAAGCATGGATAAAAATTCTTCCAATGTTACCATGCACATGAACCTTCCCCATTAGAGCAGACGCATAGTTACTCCAATACTAAACAATAATTCAATGCTAATATTTATTTTCCATAATATATTTCCATTGTCTACTTTTGTGGAACTAGGTAAAATCTTCAAATTTGAGAAATACTTGGTTCCCTCTATACAATTGTAAAATCAGATAGGAAATTTTACATACTTAGCACACAATTCTCATGTATTTACATATCTCACACCGATACTTTCATATTTACATACAAAGCACTTTGGTGCTTTAAAGCTATGGAATTAAAGATTCGAGAGTTATGTGTGTAAATATCAAAGTTTAGGTGTGAGATATGTAAATGCATAAGAATTGTGTGTTGTGTGACATGAGCGTCCGACCCACGACACTGGACGGTGCAAGAGTTGTCTTTTTTGAGGAATCTGTCAATCCGCTTAGGCTACTCCTAGTTATCCTGTTATCATATATTTATTTTTGTGGGGATCTAGGGTTATTTTTGTCGTGTGCCGGTTCAGAACAGCCACAAGCGTCTTTGTTTTCTCATCTAAGGTTGTACCTAAAGATTAAGTGGTGTTCCAATTGTATCTCGCTCCCACAGTGGTGATTATCCTCATCTATCCTTCCTCCACATCCCTCCCTTCACTGCCACTGTTGCCTTCCCTGCTACAGCCGCCTAGAAAAAAGCTTCCTTTATTCCTCCAACTGCCAAACATCCTCCTTGCCGCCTTTTCGTTGTTTCAGCCACCAAAATTCTTTCTACAACTGCCAAACATCCTGTTATTGTTATTGCCACCTAGCAGCACCCTTACCATCACTTTAGCTCCTTTCCGCCCTTCCAACCCCATAATCGACCACCACCACCCATGGAGGTGTGAGTTTGTGTCATGAAGTTGTATTTCCTATTTCCGTTTGTGTGTTTGTAATTCCCTATTTAAATTCAACACTAATATTTGATTTTCTTATTGTTGTTTGGTTAACTTTGGTATCATTTGGTATCAGAGCTAGCCTCACCCTACTCCTATCATAGGATTACCAATCTCCCAAAACCCCACACCATTGATGATTTTTTAAATCAGCCCCAAAAAAAAAATTTGTCCCACTCTAGACAATCCAATACACCCCCTTTCACCCCTCAAACCTAAACTCTAACCATATCACCAAGGACACAATTGACAAAAACCTAATCGAGAGGAAATGTCACAATGTCAGTTATAAGAAATTCGTAACAAGATGTCCAAGAACATCCTATGGAAAATATGCAGCGGAAAATTTTTCAACTGCAACAGAGGTTTGTTGCCTTCGAGAGAAGCCAATCTGGAAGGGTCACCCGTAGCCACAACTATAACTCAACAAATCGAAGGAATGAAGTGAATCCCCTTCACCAGACAAACTCCGAGGATGAAATTCCACTACCCCAAAAATTTGGCAGGAAAAATCAGAGAAGTCGGGATCTTGAAGTAAATGTGGATTTACCAAAATTTGATGGACGTGGAGATCACAAAGAATAATTGCCATCAAGTTAAAGGAGAGTTTGTAGATGTGGTAAGAAAATTTGAAGCTCCAATGCCAGCATGAGGGAAAAGGCAAAATCACTACCTGGCTCAAGATGAAAAGAGAGATGCAATGCAACTACCTACCTACACATTATAGGCACTATATGTTCTTGGAGCTTCAACAATCCCAACATCACCAAGCGATCACCTCATCTTGCAGACAGAGTTCAACCGCAAGATCAAGCATCAAGAAACAACCAATGGGACACCTAAGTCGACTCAGCCATAGGTGGAAACTGAACAGAGTGGAGAAAAGGTGGACATAGCCAGTAGTTCCAAATTCCACCCCGCCAGCAAATGCTTTAAGTGTCACAATTTTGGCTATGTGGTGTCTGATTGGCCAAATAGAAGTGTGATCTCTTTCACTAAGTAGGGAACAGTAAAAGAAAGGGATACAGTCACGGGAGAGGATGAAACCTCCAAAGAGGAGTCTCAACTTTCAGACGACAAAAAAGAGACGACAGCGATTCAAGTGAAATTGATAAGAGATACTCCACCAGGGTTAACATTAGTTGATTTAGAAGATAGTGAATCTGAGATAATTGGCGTTCATGCAAAGTTTATGGATGCGAAGCCACGAACTACCTTTTCTGCTGGCAATAAGAGAAGCATCAAAAGAACGGACATTAGTGGTCCAAGAGAGTCATAAGTTCGAGCAACAGACATCAAACACATGATAATTCTAGATAAACTAATTTCAAAATTTTCAAACAAACATTCCATCTCCTAAGTTACCACTGTTTAGGCAAATTCAATATGCAAAAGATGAGAAAGTTTTGACCTACTTCTAGACAACTATATGAATTAATATTGGTACTAAAATTTAGTTTAGTTTAGCAGCACCCCCACAATCAGATGGCCTGACGAGCACACTGAATTGTAGCTTTAAAATCTTCCTTACGTGTTTTGTGAGAAAGAACATCCGATAGTGAGAACCATATCCTTCCAGAGAAAAAGAGGTCTCTCCTGAGTGGTTGTCATTGAGAGTTGCCCAGTCTGCACTACATTTCGTTCTAGAGTTGATTCCTCCAAACAAAATTGATTAGCATATACATTCAGCTGAGTGCGAGAAGTAGAAGAAGCAAGTTACAGATTTAATGGACAGCCATCAACATCTCTATTTTCCCATCCAGGGTTGCATCCAAGGGTCGAGTGGTGCTCCGACTATATCTCGCTCCGGTGGTGATCATCCTCATCTATCCTTCCTGCGCATCCCGCTATTACCTTCCCTGCTACTGCCTCCTAGAAAACAGCTTCCTTTGATGTTTCCTGCAGCAGCCAACCATCCTCCTCGCAGTCATGCTTAGGGCTGTCAAAAAAGCTCGTTGTTCGCGAACAGTTCGTGTTCGATTCGTGAAGCAGATCGTGTTCGGTTCGTTCGATAGCAAACGAGAAGCAAACGAGACGAACACGAACAATTTTTTTTGTTTGGATTGTTAAACGAACCAAACACGAACAATGACCTATTCGTTCGTGTTCGATTCGTTTTTGTTCGAAATATAAATAATTTAAATAATATTATGAAATTTAAAAATAATTATATTATATATATTAAAAATTTATCAAATTTTAAAAAATTAACTTGTATGAATTATAATATATAATTTAGTAAATAGTATTATAAATATTATATAGTTAAATAATATAAGTTTTATAATTAATATAAAGTATTATATATTTATTAATATAAGTACATAACTTAAAATTTAAAAACACAGCAACCCTAACCCTACTGTTCGCGAATCGCGATTCATCCTTTCGGCGCTCCCCTCTCGAAAAGCTTTCG